ATGTACATGTAAGCACATATGTAATGCCAGCACATGTACATGTAAGCACGTGTAAGCACGTGTAATGCCAGCACATGTACATCAGGACACGAAATTCTTTTTGCACCGGCCCAGAGGCCTGGTAACAGTAATTTTTACATGCCCTCACCATAATTTACCAGCCCTCACAAATTTGTTTGTAAAATCAATGTCATGTTTCACGCTTTTATTCTCTATTTCAAATTTGTAAAATGTTGATAAGTTATGACATGATATCCTTCAGGTAAACAGTAATGTTGGCTTTTTGCTATAAATAATGTAGGTACTCGCTGACACGGCTGAAACCACCGGCTCGGAGGGCCGGTGTTTTGCCAATGTTACCGGCCCTCCAAATAATTTGCCGGCATATGCCGGTGGACCGGTGCTAATTTCGCGCCCTGTACATGTAAGCATATCTACATGTCATGTAAGCACATGTAAGCAGATGTAATGCCTTTTAAATTGACTTATTTTTTCTATTATATGAACTCGTTCTCAGTATCGCCCGTAGGGTCTATGTCTCCCTGACCTCTGTTTGACCTGGCTCGTTTTGCTATTTCTGACTAACCCTAACCCTAACCATATCAGATAGTTACCAGGGTTAGGGTTAGATAGAAATAGCTAAACGAGCCAGGTCAAACAAAGGTCAGGGAGACATAGACCGTATCTGCCTCAGTATCACGTAAATATCCTCGGAAATTGCATAAATTTAGTAGCATAAATTAATCGCAGTATGTGCCGGTGGCACGTTTGAATTGCTGCCAAAATTGTTACCACAATTACCACATGTTGCCATAATAAAACTGTCATATAACTTTCACCTCGTAGTTGCCAAGGTCCTATATGTTTATAGGATCTGATCTAACATATCGTCTTCACGCGAAGAAAGGAGCTAGAGCCATTATACTGTTGCAATTTAGACACCGACTTGAAGATATTAGGAGTGTATAATTATGAATCAGGGGTTAATAATGACAAATTTGTCATTATTAACCCCTGTTATTATATATATATACTCCTTTATTATATATATTATTATTATATCCTCTTATTATTATACATTCCTGAATATATTGTGCAACAATTGCCATTGAATTGGCAGCACATTTCAATGTTGACAGTGGTTGAATATGACACTTTATGTAGGTAGGTATTGTTGCTCTGGCAGTGATTCTGTAGGCCCTCAGGGGGTAGGAGTTGTTTGGGTAAAGTTAGCCTTGAACCTTAATTCACATAGATAATTAACTGATTAAATGCAAATGTACAGGGCCGTAGGCTCTGGGTGGGGGCCAAAGTGGTACATGACAAAATAACTCCTTTGGGGTGTAATAATATTGTGCTTGTCTGCATTTGCGTGCTTGTGTGTGCTATATAATGGTTCCTAATGCAGTAATAAAATGTAGTTATTTATGGTTCCTAATACAGTCATAAAATGTAGTTATTTATGGTTCCTAATGCATCTACTGACTTTGTTCTATTGTTGTCTGGTTCATGACTTTTTGAGTTATAAATATTCTGTATCTGCTTGCAGGTGGTCGGCACTACCAGCACATGTTAGGGCAAAATATCTGACAAGAATTGCAGACATTCTGGAGTCAAAGTCGGACGAATTTGCGGAGGTGGAGTCATGCGATCAAGGGAAACCAGTTTCATTGGCTAAGGCAATAGACATACCAAGATCAGTGTTGAACTTTCGATTTTTTGCATCCGCGTGCCAACATGTGCTTGGCAGGTAAATTTTGACAAGCAGTAACCATTTACTATATTGTTGAATGCCACTACTCAAACTCATGACCCTGTCTAACAAACCATGTTGCATTATGCATTGCTTATATTTATTCATGCAATCTTTGTCTTGCGTTAACTAGGAACTGTTACTCTGCCATCTTTTCATTGAATTTATTATATTTGAAATGTTATTTCGTGTTTACCTGAGAAGGAACTGATGTCAGAGTGGCAAATTATTATTACTAGATATCTTGATACAAAGTTGGATCTAATTATATGCAATGCAGGGTGCAAAATTAAAGGGAGTCCGGAGTCAAATACTCCCTGATTTACTGCCGGACTCCCTGATTTGACATATGCAGGAGTCCGTATGACTCCCTGAAAATTCTGCTATACTAACTAGTTCGTTCCAGAGCACTGCCTCCCGGAATGACCGTATTTTTTCAGCCAATGTCCAAAGAAAATTTGGCAGATGTGCTACTGCATGAATCTTAAAAATATGCACATGCGCGCGTTTGAACCTCAGATTGCGGACTCCCTCATTTTGCCAAGTGCCTGTGGTTGTGGCCGTGTTATTGGGGACTGGTCTATAATCCTGCGGGTAGTTGGTCCTACGGGTCGTTGGACCTACGTTTTAGGTCCTATAATCTCGGGTAGTTGCGCTCCTACGGCGCTCGTTTGGACTACGGTGTCGGCGGTTAATAATCCTATGCGGTTCATTGCACCTGCGCAGTTCGGGTTGAATCCATATGCCAGTCAGTTTGGTCCTATCGCGTGTCAGTGGTCCTACGTTTGGCGGTCTATAATCCTACGCGGTCATTAGTGCCTACAGTTTAGTCTATAATCCTACAGGTCGCTTGGTCCTCGGCCGTCGTTGGTCCTACGGGCTCGCCTGTAGGACGACCCGTTAGCGACCAGCGAACTGTAGGACAACGACCCCCGTAGCGACCACGCGAACTGTAAGAACAACGACCCGTTTAGACAATGACCTAGCCTGTCGGTTGACTATAGGAAAGCTGAACGTTTTATTTGCTCATGGCCTAATTGCCAATGAGCCAGCTATTCATGCACATTTTCTGAGGCCATGTTCTGAAAGATTCAATAGTCAGTCCGGTTCAGGCGCAAAATATGGCCGAAATCATTACAGGAGTGACAAAAGGTCTTAAACTTGCGCCACAGTTGTCAGCTTATGACAGTACTATAAATTATATAGAGGGGGGGTGCCAAGCAGATATTCATTAGAAGTGATACAGATGATTAATGTTTCGAACCACCCGTCTCCGAACCCCCTACCGCTGCCCTCCTGTACTGCGTTTAACCCCCCCCCCCCCGGCATACGCTATTACGCTATAGGGCGGCTGCATGAAAGACGGTAGTTTAACTCTAACTAATATCTGGAGAACTAGCCGGACAGTACTGTCGGAATAAGAAAGGCACTGTGCTGTGCGCAGGCCAGACGACAATGCAACCAATGCTGCTCGCACGCAACATATGCCACTGTATGAAAGTACGTGACCTGTTCAACCGCACACACGGCGCTGCTATTCTGATCACGTGGCTCAAATCAGCATTTGAATTGGTTAACTCCAAAAACTGTTGCCTGATCCGTCGCAACGTAGCCCGATTTTTCAGCGAGCTCTGGCAACAAAATAGTCAAAACAGTGTTTGATATTCCCCAGCGACAAGTTTCTGAGTCAAAATCGGCCATCCGCGACGTGTCCCACCCTTCGCCACGTGGCGATTTCTCGCCAGTACTTTCGATAAAGAATTGGCACGTGCGCACTGCGCGGGTCTGTACAGGGAACCTCACTACATGAAAAGAGGCGCATGTTCACGCCAGGACTAGCTTGCTAAACATCGACTTTGCAAACAGTATTTGTTAACCGACTGAAACTGAATCTGGATCCGTTACTGGAGATAGTCTCACTTCCATCAAAATTGAGTGGCTGTAGGCCTGCTGAGATGCAGCTGTAACTGTAGCATGTGCCGCATTAGGTGAGTCATCACGATCCACACCTATTTTCTTCTGACCAAAGTTCTAGAACGCAACCTCATGTTGCGAACAATGAGCTATGCAAACACCGTCAGGCCGACGTGGCGTGCACGCATTATACACCGGCGTGGAGAACCTTCCCATGTATCTGCTGACTTTCAAGATTGCCCCAGCCCTATGCCGCTGGGAACCACAGTTGTGGCGAAAACCCAAGTGAGATAACTTCGCAACTGCATGGATGCTTGGCAAGGTGTTTGAAGAGGGCGGTAGGTTGGTAGTCTGTGCTCAGAAGGCGATCTTAGTTGCCATTGTTATTTGTTTACATGCAGTTTCTTAATTTTGATCTGCCAGCTCCATTGTTGTCATTGCCATACTATGGAATTGTCAGCATAGAATCAAGCAATCCATATCTACATGCCTTGAACATTAAAGGTACATATTCAATGGCCATTCAGCAAGGGGGGGTGCGTGGTCTGTTCGGCACCCCTTTTTTCCATGATTCTTGATTCAACCAAATTATTTCTGAAATATTGGTCCATAAATTGTGTGCCAGAAAATGCCTCCAAAAGCGCTTCAGATTACACCAGAGAGCATCTAAAACCGCCCTGCAGCCTTCGTTGGATCCGCAGGGCCCTTCCGCGGGCCCTGGACCCCGGGCCGTGAGGGACTTCGCGCCTCAGTAGATGTGGCACTTTGGCACATTATTAACACTGAAAATTTGAAAATTACTCTTGTCATGCGCCACTCCCTGTTGAAAGCTTGGGAGCGGCTGATATATTTATCTTGTGGGCAGAGCAATGAAATTTGCTTCTTGCAAGAGGTTTGTTCAATCAATCTCTTAGATTGGGTGATAAGATGCCACAACGATTTGCCAACGAAGTGTGCATTGTCTTAAAATCTTGCTGGTCATAAAAATGGTCGTACTTTATTCTGGAAAATCATGTTAGAAAATGTTTTGCCCATAGGTGATAACCCTAGCCTCTGCATCATCTGCCAGCAATGTAAATACAGCTGTACCTATATACCGTGATAAGCCACTTTATTATAAACAATTTAAAGAACAGTAGGCCTCTAGGTTATAGGTATTTTCAGGCTAATTTAGGTTATAATTCCCGCTACATAAAAAGTTTCATGACGGTCAATCACTATTAGAAAATTTTTCTAAAAATGTTTATTTTAAACTAAGCGACTTAACAGTGGATGTACAACGACGTGGCCCATCTCAAGCGCGATTAGAGAAGTTGGCCGCAAACACTTTCCAGCAAAGGCCTACAGACCGAGGTAATTTCTAGTTTATTTCATTTCAAAAGCAAAAGGATGGTATATCTTAATAAAGAACATATAGTTTCAGTGTATAATTACTGGATAAATTCGCCTAAAGTGAATATCGTTCGTGTGTAAGTAGCATTTGGTATAAATATATGCAGCTTTTGTTTGGATTAGCTCTTCGAGTCAGTTTACCTGCCAAAAATAAGAAATGCAAATCACGCAATCTTGTTTTTCAGTGTGGCAGCACGAGTGTCGTCGTGGTGTCATGCGCCGTTCAATTTCGTAGCGTGATGTGTAAGATAATTAATTAATGTCAGCTGCTGGTGGACAAATACATGTGGGGGGTGTGGTGTGATATAGACGATTTGTTATACAGTAAGTACAGTTGTATGCAGTAAAATCCTAGAGGCTACTGTCCCTTTAAACAATTCCAATACAGTTTATTACCAACCTTCTTATATAATGTTTAACTGAATCAATCATGCAGGTACGTCGGATGATTTCCGCTTTCTTGGAACTCGTCTCAGTTCAACTTTCAGTTTTTCGAATGACAGCCTGAAGTTTAACTAGCGATGATATGAAGAAAATATAGTGTTGACCTTGAGCTATTTATGTGGTCCCCACCTGGTCAAAAAATTAAAACGTCTTGTGGTTGTAGAACTACCTGCCGGCGTTGTCAACATGGTATTTGGGTCTGGAGCAAAAGCTGGAGAGGCTATCGTCAAACATCCTGGAATACGTATGATTTCATTTACTGGTAGTGGACCCGTTGGGGCTCGTATTACAGAGGCCAGTAGCCATTTCTGGAAAAAAGTCTCATTAGAGGTACAGTGTGTAACACTTCATTATGTGTTGAATTTGCAAGTTTAAATTGCAATTCCTAATACTGAAACACTAAATTCTCTAAATATACCTCGTTACATTCTTTGGTGCATTTGCTATTGTTGAAGAAATATATTAACTAATTTGTATTGCAGTTTTGTTAACACCTTTTTGACAAATATGAATAACTATAATATTTTTGCAGGAATTATTTTGTGTGTGCATAGTCCTACCATTATTGTTTTAGCAGTTATTTGTTCAATTGACTTCGTGTGTATCCATATTTGCCAACACTGTATCGTTAGAAAGTTTTTGAATGTTATATTTTTTGCACATTTCTTGCTCATTGAGAACAGTTTATTGTGTTTTAATGCTGTGCAACCTTAATTGCTTATAAGATGGATAGCTAATCAAAATTTCCCCATATTGATTGGGAGTGCCACACATATATTAATTGCATGTCACCTTATTGTTTTTTTTTATTAATTCAGCTGGGAGGCAAAAATGCAGGAATTGTGTTTGATGATGTGAACATGGATGCCTGTGTAGAGGGTTTAATCAGGTAAAAATTTGTTGCTTGAGGTAAAGCCAGATGTTTGCATACATAAACATTTTGGGCTCAGCATTTTAACCCTGTCACTATGCATTTAGGCATTGGGATTGTAGATTTATAAATCACTATGAAATCTCTTTCAAATGATTTCGACCTAAAACTATTGAAGTAAATTGTAATTTAAAAAATGCAAATTGCACATTTCAAACGTGAAATCAATATCTTCTCACTGTTGTCAGTATGTTCACAGTAACTAAAATATCAGGGTTCTCTCCAGGCCCTTTTAACACAGTTGAAGCGCCGCTTTGTGACATCCCATAATTCCCTTACTGCATTATGTGCCATCTAGGCCACCTACGAGGGATAACTATAAATCCCCTGGTATGCCTTAATTGCCTATTCGGCATGCTTTAATTTTCAGATGTATTTTTTTGAGATTTCCAATACAATTATGGTGTGTTTTCACAGCTTGATATATACGTCTCCGAACTGATCGAGTATCTGTGTATTGGACCTGCTTACGACACTTAATTGTAATTGACTCCAAATACCAATCAGGGATGAATTGCCATTTGAAATTCTTGCAGAGAACCCTGAGTATTATATCTAAATGTCAAAAATATAAAGCATTTTATATAATCTTTAGTCTGAGATATTATTTTACAGAGGTTCCTTCACTAATCAAGGTGAGATATGTCTGTGCACCAGTCGCATATTTGTGCAGACAGGGATCTTTCACTCATTTCTGGAGAAGTTTGTTAAAGCTACCAGGTAATTATCAGCAGCATATCTTTAACAATTTTTTGTAAAGTAGTAGATAGATGTAAATATTTTCAAACTGAAGTTTACTGGTGTAGTTACTGTTTGCCTGCAGGCTGCATGTTTATGTTAGCAAACATGTTGTATTTGGTGTCAATTTGTGCGTTTCTGCTTGCATGCAGTTTGCTCGTGTACTCGATGTCTACTTGTGTGTTTGTGTTAGTGAACATAGTGTTTACTTCTGTAGTTGGAGTGTGCTAGTGTTTTTAGCTCATCTGACGTAGTCAGATGCAGCTTGTAGAATCGCATGAGCGTCTGTGCGTCCGTGCGTCAACAGTTGGGCACAAATCTTAACCGCTTGATGTACGGTCACGATATTGGGGATGTCGGGGGGGATCGTCAAAACGAGTTGGGATGTCGAAGCTGGGGGTCAAAGGTCAAAGGTCAAAGGTCAAGAGGTGTAAAAGAAGGAACATTCCCTCCTTAACTTAAGGTATAGGGAGGAAATGTAGAATTGCGGCACAAATCTAAACGGCTCGACCTAGGCTCGTGATAGTCGGTGTATAATATCATGGTAGGAAAAGCCATCACTGTGCCGAAATTGGAGGTCACAGATCAAAGGTTAATGGGGCACCGGGCAGATTTTAGACATTTTCTGAGGACATGGTCAGACGGAGCGATTGAAAAACTTTTTTGTTTCAGCGGTGACCTACCATTTTTATGGCTTTATTGAAAGGACCATGAAATGTACTTTCTGTTGACATGCGAAGAGTAAGTATCGGATAACTTTTTGACCCTCAAGAGGAGGGTTAAACATGTATTTGTTGACTGTTAACAAAGGACTGAACTGCTTTTGCCACAATAGTTGGTGTGTGAGTTTTCTGGAGTGGTAACATTTAGATTGGTATGAATATGTTCTAAAGGAACATAAAAGTTGGAGATCCCAAGGATCCAAACACAAAGATGGGTCCACTAGTCAGCATTGGGCACCTAGCAAAAGTCAAAAGTTATGTAGCTGCTGCAAAGGCGGATGGTGCCACTATACAATGTGGAGAGGGAGTCGACCCCTTAGAGCTACCACCAGGAAACGAGGTACATGACATTTCTTTAATATTACAATTGTTCTCCTGTTCATCAATGGCTTACTGAAAATAGGCTCCTCAGTGGTAGCACTGTCAGTTATCATCAATGGGGACACACTTGTGTGGTTATGCCATTAAAAAAACTATTTTCAAGATCTCAACTCAATTCCCTATCAATTTGCAATTGTACCAGATAGTTATATTGAGGCAGTAATGTTATATGTCGTGCAATACCGAGAAGAACAAAATTGTGTTAATGGGTGCAAGACACCTTACACTGTGACAGAAGAGGCACAGTTTCTCTTTCTCCTATCACTTCTTATCCTTTCTACTGCCCCACCCCTCTTTTTACCCTTCACGTCACCCTGTGCCATTGTGATATCCTAACTACAGATATAATTGGTTGAAATCAAGTTTTGTACCATGGGCCCCTTATTTTGCTGATGGACTGTTTGATTTGATGTTAGAAGAAGTCTGTGTGACAAAGTGAGGCTTCATATATACATGAATATATATAATAATATAAATGAATATATAATGAAAAATCCAAAAACATAAACTACAATACTGCATGTATTCGGTGTTTTAAAATAATATTCTGATGAAATGAAGTACAGCCGATAACAGGACAATGTCATTTCAGTTTTACTTCGGTTTTCTGTTTATGCTGAGAACTGTTATTGTGCTATTGCCTTACTATTTATGGTGACAAGGAGTCTGATAGACTGCCTTAATTGATCAAAAGTTAATTTCTACCCTTGAACAATTTGTGTTTTTTCTGTTGATAGTCTTGACTACTCTCAGGATATTCTGTGGCCGTGTATACAAACACGTTCATTTGTTTAGTCTGGATCCCTTTGATCATGATCAGTTGATATGTAATTTCACCTAACATATGCAACTGACTGGTTCTAGCTAGAGTGAGCTATCATTACCTACCCAGATAACATGCTGACGTTGGCCCAACGGCTGTCTTCAGCCCATGGTAACGTTGGGCCAACGGATTTTTGCTCAGCGTGTCAACGTTGGCCTAACGTCATGCAGCTGTAGCGTTTCGCGTCTCCCGGCGACACCTGATGGCGCCACTGGTCGACACTTAGTGACTAGCACACAATATTAGGTCTTTCACTCACCTGTTGTGCCCGGAGGCGTTGAACTGGCCGTATCGTCGCCACCCAGACCCCGCTAGCCACTCGAGCGCCCCAGTGCTACTGCGCTCCCGCAATAACCTGTTCCGCCGTGTTCCGGTTCGGTGCGTCGTAGAGTTAGTCAACCATGCCAGACGAGGGCAGAGGTTAAACAAAGAGAATGAATTATGAACTCAGCCGGGCAAAGGCCTACAGTAACCGGCAGCCTCTCCTCTCGTGCAGCCGTGCACGAGAGTTAATACTTCTCAATACCCGTACTCTAGTCTAGGAATATTAAACCAACCTATTTAATATTCGACTACTATTAGTACTGTATTATTTACTCACCCCACAACGACGGGACAATACGATAGTGCCTACTCACCAATTAACCGACGCGCCTGTCTCTCTCACCCATGAGGCAAGGCACACGCCAAACACCTGTGCCCGTACAGTACTTCACCACGGGTACTCGTACGCTAATTGTCACCATACCCGCCACACACACAGCTCACAGGCCACCCCACATCGTGCATATGCACGGAGTGGACGTGGCTACATATACTACCTGACGAGTCCTCCCTCACTCGGCTACCGGGACGAACTGAACTACACGTTCTCCCTCAACTGATTCCCAAGCCGAACTGCGTACCGTGTCTCTCCACACGGCACTACACTATAGTTGTTCACACGGCCCACGCCACTCACGGCCGCTAGAGGGGGTGGCTAACCCAACATGGCTGCCCCGATGTAGGGACTCGACCATCTACATCGTTAATTGATGAGCCGGCAAAACACCACGAAAACGCACACTAATAGACAGCAGACATCACAAATAATTATACAGTCACAAACACGGAACACCCACACTACGGTTCCCAGGGAGCCACCCTGCTAGGAACCCGAGGGTCCGGTGCCACCGCTACACAGCCAACCATTTGCAAGTAGCATCATGCCAACCATATGCCAACGTTGGCCCAACGTCATACAGCCAACCACTTGCCAACCGTGACCATGCCAACGTTGGCCCAACGTCATATTGCCAACCACATGCCAACCATAACCATGCCAACGTTGGCCCAACGTCATATTGCCAACCACATGCCAACCGTGACCATGCCAACGTTGGCCCAACGTCATATTGCCAACCACATGCCAACCGTGACCATGCCAACGTTGGCCCAACGTCA